ATCTTTGAATTCTCTTGAAATTTCAATGAACTAATTTAATCAACAATGTTTTTCCCACCTACATGAGTACATAAATGTTACTCCTTGGACAGTCTCAATATGCAAACTGCCCTTTCAGAAAATGTTTCTAAAAAAAAAGAAAAAAATTCTAGGTCAAAATTGTGGAAAACTGTCAAAAGTTGCAGTTAATCAGTTATGCAAGGAATCAAAAAATATTTGAAATGAGAATGGTGTATAAAAACTGAGGTAGCATACTGACATAATGATGGAAACACTGCATGAACAGTTTTTATTGAGCCATCATGTTCTAGCACATCCAGACCTTCAGACAAAGACAAGCTAGATATTTTTAATATTTAGGATTGTTCACAGTGATATTCCACCACCCAAAGCTGTGACCGTTCACATGTTTATATCTTGAGATATAAATGTGGCAGTACTTACAGTACTACAAGATCAATATTAGATACTTTAAAGCATTCTTTATTTTTATTGCATCTTATTTTTTCTCAGAGGTAAATTTACAGTTTGTCTGGTTTTATGTACCAAAAAATATATATATATATTTTTACACTAACAACTTCCCAGCCCTCTTTATCCCTTACAATAAAACAGGCTGTTCTTGGTACTGTACCTTTAAGACCGATATATTTAAATGAGCTCCATTTTGATTGGCTGCCTTTTTCAAAAAACAATCTGGACTCCTTATAACTTTAGTGTGAGTGGGCGGGGCTAAACTGCTGTAGGCTGAATAGACGGATATATATGTAAATGTGTTGGACTATAGGACTGAGGAGTGCATGGCATGTTTCAATGGCAATGATGAATCAGTTGCAGTGCGTGAAATCAAGCACCAGCCCTCCAGCTCATATCATACATATCATTTACATGAAGCACAACCTATTTAATGCAGAAGTTTCTGTAGGGAGCTAATGAAAGGACAGCATTCAGTGGTGTGTGAGCCAATGACTGTGCTTGTAGGCGGAGTTTGAGGTAAGTGCACTGCTCCCCCTGCTGACCAAACATTACAGTATATATATATATATATATATATATACACACACACACACACACACACACACACATGTAGGCAGCTTTTGGCTAAGAAAACATTCTTACTTGAATTAAAAACATTTTGAAAATCTAGCTGTCCTAAAACTTTTGACCAAGGGTATATTACTCGAGCATGACCCAGCGTGCAGAGCTCCTCTGCAGAACTTCACTAATCAGTTTAGAAGATGCTTCAGCACTTCAGCCTCTTGGTCTCTATTCATGGCTAATGAGTCTCCCATTGCACAGCTTGAGGTCTGCACCCGCAGCGAGGAACCGGTGAAGAACTTCCCTCAATCCAACCACACATCAGCACGACAGCCGTGGAGGAAAATGAAAGGGAGAAAAAAGACAGCAGAGGAGAAGAAACAACAATGTTTGTTTGAACAATGACTGGCCAGACTGTTCATCATAGGCCTGAGCTCACAGCGAGATATATATCCCTGGCAAGAGCTTCCACCTAATGCGGGGACTTACAAGCACATAAAACAAAGACTGGTGATGTGGTGGTGGGGAAGGGGAGGGGTTTCTGGAATGGTTCCCCCACTAGCCCCTTGGGGGGGTGCAGTTGAGGGCTTTTGTTGGAACAGCTCTGTCCTCACTGTAATTATTTCCTTAGGAAAACACAGAGGGTGAGATGGAGAGTGGTGTTCTGCGAAGACAGAAAGGAAGCGACCTGTTGGGTACAAAGCTTTGAGGTGTGCCTGGGGAAGCTCTGACTCTCTGACTTCCTACTGCTGGAGGAATGAAGAATGTAGCACCAGGTGAAGCAGAGATAAGAGCCGAGTCAGAGTGACCACCTAAACCATGTCCTTTACACAAAATCATAAAGACCTATACAAGAAGAATTAAACCCCAGTCTACAGTCTCCACAGAGGTATGAGTCCAAGTCGAGTCTTGAGTCTCTGAGGTGCAAGCCCAAGACTCAAATCTCTAGGATGCAAGTCAAGTCTTGACTCTCAGAGGTGCAAGTCTGAGTCTCAAGTCTCTGGAATGTCAGGCCAAATCAAGTCTTGAGTCTCTTAGGAGCAAATCTGAGTCGTTTCGAGGCTCTGAAGAGCGAGTCTGAGTCAAGTCTCAAGTTTCTGTGTTGCGAGTCTGTCTTGAGTCTTGAGTCCCTGAGGTACGAGTCTGAGTTGAGTCTCAAGTCTCTGAGGTGTGAATACAAGTCAAGTCTTGAATCTCTGAGGTATGAATCCAAGTCTTGAGGCTCTGTAGTGCAAATCTGCCTCTCGAGTCTCAGAGGTGAGAGTCTGAGTCAAGTCTAAGGGGTGCAAGTTCAAGTTAAGTCTCAAGTCTTTGAAATGCAAGTCTGAGTCAAGTCTCAAATCTCTAGGGTGCAAATCTGAGTCAAAACGCTAAGGTACAAGTTCAAGTCAAGTCTCTGAGGTGTGAGTCGGGGCCAAGTCTCGAATCTTTGGCATGCAATTCCAAGTCAAAGCTCTGAGGTGCAAGTCCAAGTCGAGTCTCTGAGGTGTGAGTCTGAGTCAAGTCTCGAGTCTCTGAGGTGCAAGTCTGAGTTGAGTCTTGAGTCTCAAGTCTCTGAGGTGTGAATACAAGTCAAGTCTTGAATCTCTGGGGTGCAAATCTGAATCAAAGCTCTGAGGTATGTGTTCGAGTTGAGTCTCTGAGTTGCAAGTCTGAGTCAAGTCTCTGGGGTATGAGTCTGAGCCAAGTTTCAAATCTCTGGGATGCAAGTCTGAGTCAAGTCTTGATTCTCTGAGGTGCAAGTCTGAGTCAAGTCTCGAGTCTCAGAAAGCCATAGAACATCAACAAAAGTGGTGATCAAATCTCTGGGCTGATAACTTTATGGTAGATTATTAAAGTACATTATTCCTATAATAACTTGTTCCCAATAATATTACATATTAAATGAACATCTAAAAATATTTGGTCTCAAATGTAATATTTTACAATATGTACATTACTGAATTATTAATATGACGATAGATTCCAAGCGTCAGAACAGTAGAATATACTTGCACTGACCACAGGTCAACACTCTAACAGTCATTTTCCCCTTACACTCTCCAACTCCTCTGCTGAACCCAACCAAACAATAAAGGAGAAAAGACCCCGACCCACACACACAGTAATAGCTGTTTGATAGAGGCAATCATTCCTAAGTGCTAATCATTCATTTAGCCACCATTTGAGTGATTTGTCAATTTTGCAACTCCCCACAGCTCCTCATTCATTTCCTCTGTGTAGGCTGGACCACGCAAGACCTTGAATCTGTCTCGGCGCCCTGCACTCTCCGCCAGGGGAAATTAGCCATAAGCACCAGCTTTCTTTTTTCCACTGTTTTTTTTTCTGGATTAGATGACATTTAAGTTATTGGAGGACTAATATGCATGATTAAAACCGTTGATGATTGCACAAAATGAAGCTCAATTTTATTGCAGGCCTCTCTCGAGAGCAGACCCTTAAAATCAGTCCAGCGCAGAGCGAGATTAAAACGCCTTATTTAACACCTGATCTGTGGATAGTGGGCCCTGACCTGCCGGTGAACCTCTAGTCTGCATTAAAACAGTACAGGAGAGAGCCTCTCACTTTACAGCACTGAAATGCTTTACCCAGGGCCTCTATGGAGGCTATTCATTCGATCTGCCATCGTGTTATAATGGGCAACAAAAAGCAAAACAAAACATGAAAATGAGTCAAAGTCAGGGTGGTAAAGTTTTAAAACATCTCTCAGAGAAGATTGGTCAGAAGGCTGTCCGTGAATGGTCAGAAGCTCAGCTCTGATTGGTGAGAAGGTTGTTCCATATTGGTCAGAAGGCTGTCCCTGATTGGTCAGAAATTTGGCCTTGATTGGTCAGAAGTTCAGCCCTGATTAGTCCATTAGCTGTTTATGATCTGAAATCCTGGAGCATTAGACATGCAGCATGAATCTCTCTTATCAATATAAAACTCTGAAAATGTTAAATAAATCAAATACGTTGCTACATATTTTAGACATGAGCTCTGCTCTGTACCGAAGGGAAGATTAACAGTGAAGAAAATGATGAAGAAATACAATACAGTCTAACATTCATCACGCAGTGTTTAATGCAAACTGACACAAAACAATGACACTGTGCGTTGTCTTTCAGAGTTATTATTCATATGTCATGTATCACTGTAATCCAAGAAAACTCACTACTGTGCAATGGACAAAACAATAAAGTGGACTTTCCGCTCACTCCGCTCACTCAGCAGCTGAACAATAGTAGGAAAGTGCACTGTAACCACAACATTACCCACAATATTATCCAGAGTAAGAGAATTCAGTAGAATGAGACAAATAAAGACATAATGAAGTGGAGAGAGAGCGAGCAAGCATTAGATCTTTCCCTTAAGGGTTTTTGAAAGCCAAAAGTCCAGACTGCATATACAGTTTTCGAACAGTACAACACAAACACTTGGGATACGTCCACACCCTGGACCACAATACCCAGTGAAGGACTAGTTATTTGTCTGCATGTTATTGTCCATCCATCTCACTCCATTCCTCTCCATTTTGACCCGATTCCATCTTGCAGTCATCTCCTTTCATCCCAGTTCGTGCCCCATACTCTGGGAAATCTGTGTCTGCAGTTTGTCATGTAGTGGATGAATCGATAAAGCAGAAAACTGAGCTTAATGCATGACGGGTTTGTCCTCTCTCCCTCTTTCTGGCGCACTGCTCCTCTCCTGCTCAGTGAATCTAATTCTGAAAGATGGATTTTACAGATCTGAGCAGAGATACAGACACATGTGGACTTGAGAGGTCGTCAACAATATCTTATTTCGTTCAGGCTTCCAAATGATTTCTAATGACTGATCTGGTATAGACAGTCGCGCATCGGATTTCTGAGATTCAATTATGCTGATGATCTAATGCAGAGCTGCACAACTCTGCTCCTGGAGGACTGGTGTCCAGCACAGTTTGGTGATTTACCTGCTCAAACATACCTGATTGCACTTACCTGTTGATTGCCAGGTTTAGAGGGTGTGTTTGAATAGGAAAACATCTGAATCGTGCGGGACACTGGACCAGGACCAGGGTTGATCATCCCTGATCTAATGTTTACATCTGTAGTGGATTGTCCCAAATATTTGAGCCTTGTAGTCTGAAGCCCACCGAGGCCCATGGAATTCAAAGGCTCCTGGGTACTGGCCCCACTGGCCCCAGTAGTAATCCATAATAATAATAATAATCCATAAAACATACTTTGCTTTTATATTAAATTGATGTAACCAGACTTTTTTACAGGTCATTTTGGGTAATTTCTTTTGGTTCATTCATCTAACTTCAACGCAATGTAAAGGCCAACAGGCATTTTCAAATTATGTCAAAAACTGAAAAATGGCAAAAATGGAAATCTAAGGTTTTGTTCAGAGAGCAGCGATATATTGCACTGGATACTGTATTGAGGATTCTCTCAGATTGCTTTGTCTGTATTCTCATCAAGCATTATGAGGACTCTGAGTATGAGATCGAGGCAATTACCCACAGACATTTTCACGACTGATTTTTCCCCATATTTACCAAGCGTGCCAATAATTATAGAGCTGACTCTAGTCATAGCTTTAGCATCTATCCCAAGAGCAAATCAAGGTCACTGTTTCTGCAGCCTACATTTACTGAATTGTCTATAGCTCATTAGCAAAAATAATCCTGAAAGATGGACATTACAGGTCTTTTATATAATATCATATCATTCAGGTTTCCAAATGATTTCTAAAGACAGTCAGGGATCAGATTTCTCAGTGCATCGGTTGCTGTTACAGCACTACGTTCTCAGCTCTGCCAGGAGAGATTATAAAATTTCATATGCTTCAAAAGCAGCTCATTTATGCCAGTCTGATCCGTTTTTTACAAGCCTTTGGAACCCAGCCTGGTACAAACCACCCTGCACTACTTAAAAAATTACTTCATGTGGTAACAAGTTTTATTCAACGCAAAAAAAAAATTACTTTGATTGAAAGAATCATTCATTCAAAGTATTTATTTAGGTTGAATTAATCTAGTTCATTTACTTGTTACCACATGAAGTAATTTTTTAAGTAGATCTGATGAGCCTCATTTTACAGGGTGCAAGATTTTTCATTAATTCTGTTGGTTATTACTGAGTAAAACTAAAAGATTAGCATAAAGTAGACATGTTTTTATTGATTTTTTGTACTCTTGGATTCATGCTGAGAGCAAAAACACAGATACAAAACAAGACAGACTTTATTTTTAATTTCAAATTGAGCATGTTTACTGATATGTGAATTGTGTCACTATTTTAACCCGTTGTTGTAATATGATGGCTAAAACGAAAGAGCTAGTAACAGTAGTGATTTTGGGTGGTTTTTGGAGCTGGATTATGGGCTGGTGCTTTGTCACAGGTGGATGACAGCATGCGGGTTAGTAAGGACAGAGTCTGCTGAGTGCAGTGACGTGAATCAGGTTGCTGTTTTAACCATTTGTTGTTATACGAAGTCTAAAGGGAGAGTGCTAACAGCAGGATTTTGTGTAGTTTTTCAAGCCAGATTACTCACTGATGCTGACATCACAATTTGATGATCTCATGCTGGCTAGTGCTGTAAGGGTCTGTTGAGTGTTCTGATATATGAACCAAGTCTATAAACCGTTCAGAAGTTAGACAGCTAGCATGTAGCCGGCAAAACTTCGGGTTCTACGCTTAAACAAATGCATTATTAACGTTAGTTAGTCAACAATTATCTACTCAAAAACCCATCAGTGTTCAACACCTTTATGAATTCAACAGATTCATGGAATCATGGAATTTTTGGCCTCTAGAAAACAGCTGGAAAACCAGCAGCATTTGGAATGTGCGTCTTTCCAGACACGCCTTGAAATGCACCATTTCATGCATTGTGAAACGTTACAAATGCACTGTGCAGAGCCTTTGAAATTCATTCCATGAAACCATGCCAAGGAACCGAATCTCACATGTGAAAGCATCCTAAGAGTGCTGATCTAACATCAGCTCCTGCCTTTCATATTCCTGCCCCATTCTGAAATTGCCCACACAATGCTATTTCCAGGTACACATAACAGCACTCCCCAGGGTCCCACTTGGCTCCCTCCCTGGACGAGAGCGAGACGAGTCTTTCGTCTAGACGGATGAGTGAGCTGAGGAGAGGCAGAGCCGCCAAGACGCAGAGAGCACCGAAGCTTCGTTCAACCATTATATGTCATAACACATGTCTCGATAACGGCTAATTGACTTTGACTTTTCACTTTCTCAGCCTGCAGCTACAGGTGGTTTTCTTACTCTGCCAAACGTAAAAATAGCACACGTAAATACACCGGAGTTCCTTTTGACCAGACTGGAAAAGGGAGCGTTTTTTATTTATGCGGCAACCACAACCGTGCATTTAAGAAAATAGATCCTCAAAAGGGCGAGAGGAAAATAGTGCAAGCTGCGTGTTGACTTAAATGCTGAAATTACACAAGTAGGTGAAACCACAGAGAAATGGTTTGTGGAAATGCTGGACACTGATGCATGTCCTTCAACCACTGACAGATCACAAAAATACAAGGCTTGCACATTCGCTGTGACATCCGTCATCACATCTGTCATGTAATTATCATCCAACTGCTTTTATTTTAAGGTCCCACAGTCAGATTTCACATATGTTTATAAAGGACAGCACAATGCAAAATAAGTGCTTTTTATTCACCAAATAAACAAGCTAAACACAAAGTCCTCTGCTGGTCTTAACCCTAGTTTGAGTTTCTTTTGGAGATGCAGCTCCACACGGAAGACAAACTCATCCTTATAATGTTCACGCGGCTGACCTGTCATCTTGGTTGTCGCTATGCCAACACCACAGATAATAGTGATTGGTTGTGTGAGTGCATCTCACCTGCAAAAACCCACAAAAAAGAAACAGCGCCAAATAAGACTTGAAATAAAACTACATACTACTTTCATAAAATAAATAATAATAAAATAATGAATAAAATAATTATAAAATAATTCCAAAATGGCTGCTCAGAAGTTACCAAACGGTTATGGGTAATTTAGATGGTTGCTAAGACGTTGCTAACCAGTTGCTTTAGCATACCATGTGGTTGTACAGGTGTTGCAAAGTGGTTGCTATGATGTTCCAGGTGGCTGCTAGAGTATTGTTAGGTGGTTGTCAAGGTATCTCTAGTGGTTGCTCGGATTTTGCTAGGTGGTTGCTATGGCACTCAATTTGGTTGCTACAGTGTTACTAGATGGTTGCTGTGATACCCAAGGTGGTTGCAAGTGTGTTTTGTCTCATGGTTGCCATGGTATTCCAGGTGGTTGCTAGAGTGTTGCTAGTTATATTGTTCCAAGTGGATGCCATGGCGTTGCTAAATGGTTACTATGGTATCCCAGATAGTTAATAGGTTGTTACTAAGCAACTGATATGGCATTCCTGTTGGTTGCTATGGTTGCTACTCTGTGTACTCTCTATACTCTCTGTGGTGTCCCAGGTGGTTGCTTTGGTATTACTGAGTTTTTGTCATGGTGTTCCAGGATGTTGCTAGGTTGTTGCTACATGTGTTTTTATGGTATCCTAGGTGGTTGCTAGGACGTTGCTAGGGTATTCCACATGGTTAACAGGTGTTGCTTGCAAAATCATGGTATAAGTAGAGTGCACAAAACATTGCCCACCATTCGTTTCTGTGGGCAAAAATAAAAGAAAAACACTAATAATGTTGCATTTTTATTACTTAGCAGTCGACACTACAGATTCATATTTTATTAAAATCATATCTGCAATCTCTCAAATTACAGGACCAGCATGTGTAAAACTAATTTAGTCTCATATTTTGAGACATTTCTTTGTGGGAAATTTCAAGTATGGACTCAGATTCTGAAGACGATTTTATTGTGCGTGGCTAATAAGCAGAGCTTCATGTCATATGGAAGCTGTTTCACATGCAGCTCCAGAGCTACTGGCAGTGTGACGCTCTGCAGTCCTGTAACTGTTTATTTCTCTACATTTATGACAATGCAGCTGGGTTTGAAACGAAGCTCAGGCCCAGTGGTAACTACAGCCAACGGCAACATCCAGTCCTAGCGGAGGTGGCGTCTCACTTCACGGCCCAGAGCTTTGGCAGGCTGGAGTCCAGAGCTTGGGCGTGTGACCCTGGCAGCCTGTGAGGCTGATGCAGCTTTCTGCCAACACGTCCCCCCAATTACAACATCGGTGCAGATTACTGAGCATGAGATTACTCTCAATCAGCCCCACTCCTAATGAAAACATGAGCTCCATAACCAGCCCCTCCTGACTATCTGACTTAAGCTAGTCCTAAGCGCAGGACGTGATTAATTACAATTCCCTGAATTGATCCAGATTTTAAATTCTCCACCCATTAGCGCAGGGACCTATCAAGCCAGGTCCATCTTTGCATTCGTTTGGTGGGGCAATTCAAATAAACACGAGAAGTCGGTGGTAATTGCGTTGTAGGCAGCTGGCGTTTCCAGGGCTTAGAGGACATGCCCAATTAATCAAGTTTCTTTCTGTGCAGGTCTTTATGGGTAATGACCAAAGCACTAACATTCACACATGTGGGAGCTATTTCGCCACCCCTACAGCCCCCCGACCCCCCCCACCCGACTTCAACGAGATGGAGGTAAATGTCATTTTTTAAAACGAGGCTACCTCTGCTTGTTACCGCTTTCTGTTATTAATAGCAATAATAAGACCTGCTCCTCCAGGGTCTGCCTCCGAGGTTTATTTTCACTCATTTCAGCCTAATGATGGCTCTGACTCTGGCCTCTGTCCATGAAGCACCCCAGTGAGTGTGTATGAAAAGAAAACATCAGACAAACAAGGATGGAGCCAAATCAGTCTCTTCATTCATACCAGGCGACAGTTTTTTCTACTAAAAGTTATAAGAGTGTAGCATAAAAAAAAGCCTTTCATCTGTCATCAGCTTATATTTACACTGCTATTTGAAGTCAAGATGCTCCAATTCAGTTTTTACCCTCCACTCCACCTTCCAATCCAAGTACTTCAGTGGTCAATATCAACTGATATTAATCCATCTTTGTATTTTTATAGATAAACCGTTAGGTAC